ACATGCTGCACATTCTGTTTTTGAGGTTAGGATCAACTTAAAAATAGAAAAAAGGCGAGGGTGCCGATTTAAAACATGGAAATTCTAGAATTATTTTACCCAGATCTCGATCCAACTTTCAAAGTTCAGTGACTGCTTAAGAAAAGCATCTAGTAGTGAATGGAGGTACCGTCAATTTTACAATAATATTTAAGTCAATATCATCATCAAGGGCGGCCATTAAAATATTGTCATCCGTTGTATCACTTAAGTTGCTTTTGCTTTTATAGGTACACAATACCCTTTTATATTTTACTTTTTAATTTACACACGATCCATAGATAAAATGGATAAAATATAAAATCATAAATTTGGAGTTTGGAGGTTTAGTTACATTAATTTAATTATGAAGACTAGAGATAAGGAGACGAGTCGGCATACTCAAAATACGGTCCCAAAAAATGCATGCTAATTGAGCTTCTATAATTAACCGCATGGGCGCTGGTACTGCATACGGTGTTCAAAATACATGGCTTCTTATTGAAATTATACATAATTTTGTCAAAGTAATAAAAATAAACTTGTTTATAACTAAATAAAGCACAGAACATACTGTTGTATTTATTTTTAAATAAGTCTTACATGTTTTAATTGATAAATTATTTAATTTTATCTACATAAAATACAAATTGACCAAATTCGAAAAGGTTTCTTAAATGCTGAAATTTGATAAGTACAATTTTGTGGCAATTTTTTTTTTGAATTGAACCAATTTATAGTTTTAAGAGTAAAATAAAATCCAGTTAACAGATTTTTTATTGTTGTAATACAAGTATAAAGGGAGATTTGAGAATGTTCATGGTATTACCTCATCATTTAATTTCAGCTTTCCCCTTTATATTTTGCTAACAGTACTATCAGTAAAAATAGTCTCATAATATCTTCTAAAAAGTTGTAAGGGGTTTTCTCGCCTCAGAGAAAACGATTACTTACAAATGACGCCTGTTGACGGGACGGCTCTCGGGCGCCAGATTTGATGTGTGGTTTACTCCACAAACTTTCGAAACGGCGTCGAAAGTACTCGGGCAGCACAGATGGAGATGAAAAATTCCAGGGGTCGTTGGTCACTCAGACACAGGTAATAAGTAACCACAAGTAACGGGCTTTAATCGTCACTTGTAGTGATAAAGAATTTCTCACTGCTGAAATAAAGGGGGAAGTAAATTAGGGATCAGTAACCTCAGTAACAGTCAAGGTAACGTTGACACATATATTAACTTTTAACTATTTACAATAAAAAAAATAAATAAATATTTCAACGCCCACCCCCGCTCGTAATTTTAAAACCCTGAACAAAATAAAAACAAACAGATCGGCCAGTAATGATTAGTCTCAATCAGACGGTAGAATTAAAATTAGAAGAAAGATGCTCGGTGGCAATAGTATCTAATTAATAAATTTGTCGGATCGGTGGTTGAGCCAAAACGAAACCAAAAACAAATAATAGCGGTCGTAGCAAAAGTTAATTAGTTAACTCTTAAATCGGCATAAAGATTACAGTTAAATATTTTGTTTCGTAAAAATAATTTAAAATCACGGTCGTAGTAAAAGTTATCTGGTTAACTCTCTAGTCGGTATTGAAACTGAAACAAACCTCCTTGTTTTAGTGAATGGGGAATAGATAAATGATAAGAAAACGGGATAGTATCAATCCTATGAGGAGTGCACTCGCCACAACCAGCACGCTCAACATAAAAATGATACTATCATTTTAATCACGGCACGGAGGTAACTAAAAGAAAATAATCAAAATCCGGGTTAGTATTTAATCCTATGATGAGTGTACTCGCCACAACCAGCCCACTCAAACACAAAACAAAATATCAAACCGGGTCAGTATTTATCCTATGATGAGTGTACTCGCCACAACCAGCACTCTCAAACATAAGAAAAACACTAATATGTTAATCACGGATAGGGGTTAATCTAAATAAAATCTAAAACCGGGATAGTATCTAATCCCATGTGAGCTTTCTCGCCACAACCAGTCCACTCGACATGAAAAATGATACTATTTCAACTTTCCAACTTTCGAACTAATTCTATTCCCAAGTAAAGAAACATAAATAAAAAAAGTTAAACCAGATTGTGAATAAATAGAAACAAAATTTACGGTCGTAGTAAAAGTTTAGTAATTAACTATGTACGGAATTTAATTTAAATTTATTATTACTTAAAAAAAAATTAGGAACAAAATCCACGGTCGCAATGAAAATTAACTAATCAACTGTATATGGAATTTAATTTGAAATTAGGTTTACTATTACTGTAAAATAGAAACACACTTCACGGTCGTAATAAAATTAATTAATTATTAAAATAGAAACAAAGTTTCTATTTCCTAGTAACCAAAAAAAAAAAAAACTAATTTTCAATGTTTCTAAATAAAATCAAAACTAAATAATTTATCTGTAAATCAAAATATTTTTAACGAAAATCTGAAATCAATTATTATTTCTCTTAAATAAAATCGAAAACGGAATAATTATTTCAAATGAAACCGGTATTCGAACGTTTTTAACTCAAGAACCGTCGACAAAAAAAATATGTAAACAAATTCGATGTACCTAACTACGGTATCGGCGATAATTTTCAGCGGTGTATATCGGAGCAGAAACAGGAGAAGCTAGTCGAATCGGTAACGTGAATTGAATGATTTTTAATACCCAATCTGAATTCCAGTCTCTATGCCCAAGCAGGCTAGCTCCCCACTTGATGTGCGCGAAGCGCGCGCGCTTTCGTTACTCAGGTAAAATACGCGAATTTAAATGAAACAAAATTTTATATACAGGGTCTACCCATGAAGTTAAAATAAAAATAAAAAATAAAAATTGAAATTTATATCCGGAATAGGCCGAAATATAGTAATGAAAATTGACTTCATTACAAAGTAATGAACAGTATCATCTCTAGAAAGTGCTTTATCGGCACTAGGAACTATATACTGCCACTGTTCTAAACGTTTAGATTAGATTAGATTAGGAGTTGGACGTTATTTGTCCTTGTCCACCGCGACCTTTTCAGATCTATTGTGGGACTCCGTTTGTTTTAGAGTATGTCGTCTAGCCTGGTCTTTTTTATTAGACTTAGTAGCTTTGACAGTGGCTCCCGCATGTAGTTGCATGCAATTGGCTTTTCTTCGCCCAATGTTAGAAACCTCATTCCAGCCAAGCCTTCACATTGGCACAGGACGTGGAATGATGTTTCCTCTTCTTCGTTTAGTATCCTATAAAAAAATTTACAATGACACAATTGGGGTCCAAAAAAAATAACAGTAGCAACTCTAACATTAAAACTCTATAAAAAAATAAATTTTATTTTCTAGTAAGTTAAATTTAATGCATAATTATTGTTGTTTGTGAGTCAGCATCTATAAGTGTAAAATTTTATATTACAGAAACTTGTAATAAAATAAACTACACTTCGTAAGGAAGTTTAACGAAGTTTAAAATGACATTTTTACATTAACAATGTCATTTTAATCTCCGTTTAACACAACGGTGGAATCGGCCCTACACTATACTTCGTAAGATACATATTGTGACTAGTTTACAATCAATATTATATTTAGACATGAATACATTATTTTACTTACATTAGAATTTTTAAAAAAACATTTAATTGATTTCTTCTTGTGTTTTCTTTAGTTTTACATTTGATTTGTACCCTGTTTTACAATCTGGAACGACGTAAATCTTGCTATGATGTTTTTTGTCACTCATGTTACTTGTGGCACTTTTTTTCACATTATTTTGATTCTTTTCACCAATTTTTTAAAATATCACTTCAGTTTACATTGATTTACGTAGAAAATTGACTCTGCTGTCATTAGACATGCCAACTACAGTCAATTTCGCGAACTTTATAAAAACAAGGATGGAAATTTAAAATTTGACCATTGCGGATTCGCCTTCTTCTCTCTAGTCTTCATAAGTTTATTAAATAAATGTCACTACAGTTTCTTGCTCAAAACGCAAAAAATACTTTCCAGCAAACTATAAAACTGTTGCAAATTGATCTGAAACAGATCCCGATTAGATTTTTTCTGCTGAACGTAGCCAATCTGTCACAAAATTGACGCAACTCTCAGCCGTGGTCCAAAAGTAACCAACAAATTGTTTTTTTTTTTTTTTTCGGAATCGCAGTCAATGTTTCAGTTTATAGACTGCGCAACTCGGATAATACAATATATGACAACCGCCTATAATAAAACAGCAGTATTCTGCGCATCCTGAATTTGCATCCCTGAAGTGGATGTTATTTTGGAACTATCAACTGGGCCGAGTAAGCTAACTGATTTTTTAGCAATAAACTGTGACTCCAAAAATAATATTCACTAACACTGAGAGCAGTAAACAAAATATTAAAAATATTGCGCCAAGATGTAGGCAACACGTAATTAGGCATTCCAAACTGAATGGCTACCAGTGGGTTTTGACATGATATGATATGATATGGTAAAATTATGGCAACCCTGTAGGCCTGGTGATTTGACAAGGTCAATGAAATAGATAGTTACATAGATTGATTATCCAAATTTTTCAAAATAAACATAAGCTTATGCCCTGAAGTAAAAATGCAAGCAGTTATTATTTTTTAAATATCTAAAGGCTGAAAATTGGTTTTAAAACACATTTTTGCTAAATCGATTCAAATTAATAAATATTTGCCAGGCAATATGGCCGCTCGCAAACGACCAGCTTTGAGCAATCTATATAACTATTATGTATCATTGACCCTGTTAATGACAAAATGACAACAGGGTTGCCATATCTAAACTGTCAGTACCCACTGGTAGCCATTTGGAGAGGTCGTTGGAATGCCTAATTAGCACATCTAATTAGGCATCAAAATGGCGCTCCCCTTCTGCTAATCCAAGGGCCTGGAAATCTCTGTCAGACGAGTAGAAAAAATGAGGTGTAGCAGCGTCTTGCTGGAAATGTAACACATCTCCTGTAAAACTAAATTACCTTCTGCATCAGTTTGTTTCTAGCTCCTGAGTTTATAAGAGGATCAATAATCTCTGCAAGCATATTGAGGGACAGATCGCCTGGGAAGTTCCCTTCATTAAATAAAGAACCAATAATTGCGTATGCCCTTCTTGAATAATATACCTGGTGTTCATCGCTCCAGTACCAACATTTGTGTTTATTAACATTGTCATTTAGAAAAAAATTAAGATTCATCACTGAAACAGATATTCAGCAGAAGATTGGGGTTGGCGTTGACTTGATCGGACATGGTTTTACAAAACTCTATTCTCTTATCAAAATCATCTTCGTAGAGCTCTTGAAGTAACTGCATTTTATAGAAATGAAATTTATACATTTTCAGTGCTCTTCTTAGTCTCGTGTGATATTCCCGTCTGTTCTGCTACTATTCGTATGGAGCTAGTTGACACGGTAACAAATGTTCCCAAAACCTCAATTAGAGCTTCTTCATTTAGTACTCGTCGGTTCTTTTCCTATTTTTCACCGAACCAGTTTCCAAAAATTTTGCTACCAAATCGAGAGTATACATATTATGACTTACATTACAATTAGGATGCCTTTCATTTAAATGCTGCCGTTCGTGCGCATTTTCCAACCTCTTCATAAAGGATAATTATTTCGATTCTTTCCTGTAGAGAGTAAACCATTTTTGCTATAGAATTACAACCTTTGTTATCTCCTGATCACAAATGAATACCAGATGCTTACCGACTCCACTATCGATTCGAATACTGTAGACAATGAGTGAAATATTTATTAAATTATACCTATCAAAACTTAATCTTGGAAATAAAGGCAAATTTAAGTTTAGGCTGGGGACCAATGAAGAAAACAAAACTAGGTACTTATTTGAACTATTTATTTCTTTTATTTGAAAATCTTGCAAGATGCTACAGAATACAAAAATATTTAACAAACATTGCAAGTATTTTAATAATAGTTTAGTATCAGGTGTAAAAGTTATTAAAAAGTAAATGAGACACTTAATTCAAAGAAAATTACCTAACATTTGAAAATCCTTGAAAAAAAAAACATATATTGCAAGTAGTTATTTTAATAATAGTATTAGGGGTACAAATTATAAGAATTGAATAACATTTTGTTGAAATAAAATCTTCAGGACATTAACAAATACAAAGAATATATAACATTTAATTCAAAGAAAACTACTTATTATTAAAAAATCTTTAGGATCTAGACAGGTACGGAATTTTCAACACAGAAGGTATATCTTACAATGAGTTTAACAAAGTTTAATAGGAACATGCAGATAACAAAGGGAGACCACTGTCAGAAAGCATCGATATGGTTCCAACTTAGGCTCTCTCCACTATATACATCGTCACAAATTTAGATGCTACGAGTCTTTGCCTGATATGCGCAGGTTCCTAATTCAAATTGCTTTATTGTTGAAAAAATATATCTTATTGACAAAGACAGAAAACAAATATATACATATTTAAAATTAAAAAAAAAGTACATACTAATATCGTATATCGTACCTCAGATACAAACAACCGATTGCAACAATATTCATTAAAATTTATAGGTACGATAAACTTTGACAGAGTTTGAGAATGTGATCTGTCTTAATGATATGAACATCAAATTACGTTCAGTCTAATAAAATTATTCGATCATTAGATATTGAAAGATTTATATAAGTGTTCTTCCAACTGGGTGTTAGTCAATTACAATATAGAATTACAAAATATATAAAAATATTATAATTATTTGTATGAATTGTATTTAATTTAAAACTGGCTGAATGGCTAAGGATCTATATATTTTTTTTATTATAATTTATATATACTGTAAAATATAAGGTTAGATTTTTTATTTAAAATGGTACAATATTTATTGTATTATCTAAATTGGACTTTTTCTTTATTTTGGACATATCGAGGGCCACAATGCAGGACCTCGTAACTAACATTTCCACTGAAAATTATATTTTATGATAATTGAAAAAATACCGGTGTTACTTCCGAATATTTCTTTGGTAAAAATGTTCTGTAGCATATGTCGCTGGTGTTAGAAGAATTGGGTTCTTTTGTAGAAATAACTAACGAGTCATAGGTAGTAGAAAAAGAAGTGTTTTTAATTTACTATTTTCACTGAAGTAAATACATAGTGGTTGATTCCATTTAGATATAATAATTTTCTTATCTTCACTAAACAGTTCTAAATATTTACAATTTTAGTTCATCACAATTTAATTAACTAATACAGTTGATTTTTTAGTTACCAACTTGAAAACATTTGTTTGTAGAATTTCTTATGCCATAATAATTTTAGAAGATATAACTTTCACCAGAAAATAAAATGCATTAAACGCTTGTAAAAATGTAGAAAGTAACGTGCCGTCGGCAGAAAGCACCTGAACGTTCGGATAGCAACGACAACTGTGAGCGATGATGGCAAAAAGACAACTGAACTGGTTGGTGGCAATAAGACAACTGAACTCTTCGCGTCGAGCTCGCCCTAATATATACTGTTGTGACGAAATGAGTGTCCGGGGCATAGTTGACGCACCTATTCGGTTTCAACCAATGAAAACATCATGACATAATGAAATACGTCATTTGTGTTTCGTTAACTATGCGCCTAAAACTCATTTTGTTCCACTGCACAGCTGTGCACACAGGTGTCCGACGTTCGGTATTCTGAGAAAAATGCTATTTATAGTTTTATGACTTCACATTATATTAGGGTAAAAAGCAGTCGAACTATTTGAGAATTGTTTATTTATTTAGTAGATGTAAAATATTAATTTGTTGATGTTTTTACTGGTGAAATTGTAGAATTTAACCAATAATCTCGTTTAAAAGATTTCACTCAATCTACTGTATAAATGAAGTATTACAATTTTTGAACAAAATATACTTAAATATTAGTCCCATTATAGAGTAAAATGGATTGTTCTATGCACTTGTGAATATGTTTTTTGCGACTTACGAAGTCTAGCCTTGTTGCCTTCGATATGTTGTTTACAGTCGTCAAAAGTAAATGTAAAATATATAAAAACATTTAGGTATAAATAAGTAAAATACATACAACTTAATTATATTATTTTTGAAAGAACTCTCTATCACTGCCTGATAAGAAATACGTCTTGTATTAGGAAAGTATTAAATTTTTTTAACTATTATACTTTATGATTTTTTTTATTGAGCTAAAAAATACCTTGGTCTACTTATTATGAGGTATACTTTGCCTTTTAAAAATTCCATAGCAGTACAATAAAATACACAACATATTACAAGTAGATATTTTGATAAGAGTATCAGGTGTACAAATTATAACAACTACATGCCATTTATTGACATTTAATTCTAAGAAAACTACCCACTTGAAAACAATCAGGACACAGTAAAAATGTTCCAGCATCAGTACTTATCATATTCCTTTTCTTTAACACAGGTAGAACTTGCTAAGGAGACGAGTGTAACATTGCATCATTTATACGTCTGCTGTCGTTTTTGATATCTGTACCGCATTTGGTTTGTTTAGATATCTGCATTTCTGTCTTCTTTACTGTATTTCTGCAATTAAAAAAAATCACTATTTTGCAGATATTTACATGGAAAGATTTAAGCTGTGTTTGTTTATCATAATATAGGATGCATCTGATGAGATGTGAATTTTTTATCACCTAATAGAAGATTAGGGTTAAATGTAGATGTAATAAAGAAACACTCTAGACGTACTGGCCATGTAGTAAAAATGACAATAAGTTTTATACTTTTTGTGTTTGACCTGTGAGTCATTATAATATGAATACAAAAGTAGTTGTCTTTGTAATTTTTCTTATGATTATTTACTTTAAAACTATTTTGTGAATTAAAATACCTACTCTCTAGTTACTGATGGTTGGCGATACCTATATTATAGAAAAAATCTAAATTTGAAAACTTAACAAAAATCAAACAAATAATCACTTTCCTATTCTTGAGCACATATGGCTAGCATAAACAAAGGATAAATCATGGAGGAAGGATAATTAAGAGTTGCCGTTTCTTTGAAGAAATATGGCAACAGGTTTGCTTGCAGCGCCACCGGTAAGGGATTTGTCCAACTATTTCTCAGTCGATAATATAGATACCTGCATATTTTATTTTATTTAAAAATTAGCGGGATTTTGTTTGTAGCTCTACTTTAATTAGTATAACTAAAATTTTGCATTTTTATTGGCATTTTTTATAACACAGACAAGGTGCAAGATGTAACAAAATGCCAATCAAAATGTAAAATTTTATTACCCATAATTTTAGGAAGGGTAAAATAATGTAATATAAAATAATTGTATTATCTATTATATCATTAAAACTAATTTATAATAAATTTTCTAAATAAACAATATTTTAATAAAACAACTAAAACTTTCTGTAAACTTGGGTAGGTAACAAAACACATTAAGGAGAACCATCCATATAATCTGAAACAGAAAAAATTCAAAGTAGTATTTTAACTTCATATCATTTTGAATCTCTTTTTTCTTTTAGACATTGTCACAGTTTTATACTTTCATTATATTTTATAATTAATAATGGTAGTCCCTTCATCTTTTAATTAGATGTAGTACTTTAAAAAAAAACAGATGTCTGCGGGATCAAGCTTTGAGGTCCTTCTTTGATTCGCAAATTTTACTTTGCTGTTTTCTAATTATAAAATAAGAGTTTTTTCTCCCTTGGAGCTAACCATTCACTGAATTGATTTAAAAATCCAAGAGCTAATTATTGTTTTTTAGGTAATAATTATATTTCATTGGATGAAATTTTAATCGAATGTAACTTTCTTTTCACTGGTAATTTGTTTGACGTATGATAACAATATTACTTTAGTATTAATTACTCTTTACTGTTAATTTAGCTTTCAAGGGTACCAAAGGTAAAGCCAATTTACAGTCTTGTAACCTATAAATGGTTTTTCGCAAGTGGAATGATGAAGTTTATGCGGCATCATTTAGTTCCTTGCTTAATATCGGAAGGAAATAAAAAAATGTGTTCTTAAAATGTACAGCATAAATTGGACAGTAAATTGTACTATTTACCTTTATACAAACAACGCT